CGGCGATGCGCTCCCCAGCGCCTCTCAACCCTCCAACCCTCCTTCTTCCTCCAATGCCTCTCCTTCCTCTTCCTCGTGTCTCATGATACTGGTCAAGCACTAAACAGCTTCATATCCCACACTGGAAGTCATACTGTTGTCAGTTCAGGCGAAGGAGATACAGCGGGTAAGGCATCCCAGGGAAGGGTTCCGTCGGTGTCGATGCACCTTTTAACTTCAATGACATGGGGGTGTTGGAAAAAGAGGGTGGCGTGAGGGGGTATTAGAGGCCATTAGCAATTCCCTGAAGCTTTAAGCCCACATCTGTTACTTCAATCAGATCAATCACAGTCAAGTAGTACAGTTGGGTCGGGTAAGTACTGTGACATTCACATCGAGGCGTTGAACATTTTGATTGCAGAACTGAAGTTAGACTCGAAGTTCATCATCATCATTTTCTACTGAGATCCCTCACTCTGGTACGCAGAATTCCAAACCACTGTTCCTCTACGTCTCACTGCGAAGTTATCATTTTTGCATATATCTTCTCCCAAACATCGGGATCGGCGGGATCTGCCTCATACGTGATCCTCGAATCCTTTTTGAACCACTCCAATACCTGATTGAATACCTGGGCTGCGTTTACACCCTCGAAGGTCTGATCAAAAAGTTTACCGTCGCTGTTTGATTTGCCCAATACATCCTGTTGGTATTCCCTTTGCTCAAAGATGAGGGTTCCGAGGAAAATCCCTTTCTTCTTGTTAGAGTAGGGAAGCCTCTCAAGTTTCCACTTGTCGACCGTATCAATCCTAGTGACTTTCAATCCTTTGGTGGCCCCGAAAATCATAAGGTATTCATGTGTTGTATCGAAATTTTCAGTCTGAACTATGTTCCGGGAGGCGCTGAATTTCCCGCTGGGTAGGAAGTGACCGTTCCTCAAATGCAGTTCAACATTGTAGGCTATAATGTGTCCATTAGTGTTTGAGCCTTTGACGTGAACAAAGGCTTACAACGCCGTTCGAGCTGACTGGCCATCTCATGGATAGGCAAGGGTGTGGCCATGATCCCAAGAACAGTCGAAAGGAGGAGGAGTAAAGACAGTCGAGATGCAAGAGTTTTCAGTAGAGCAACCATAGTCAGCAATACAAGAAGGAGATTGACGTGAGTAACGGGGGAAGAGCCTAAAAAATCCCCTTCAATCAGTCTGGACCCACATCTCAATATTATGCAAGATCAACATACCAGCAAATGACAAAATTGACCTGAAAACTTTCTTTACTTGATTGAACTCCAATTACAATAACTGTAGTAGTCGAAGAAAAATTCAGGAGGGTAGAGCTGGGATTAGAAAGACATGGTCAACATACCGAACCAGCGTTACTGCACACTATGAGTGTAGATGAGTGGGTGGGGGTTGATAACGACACTAATTTTTTTGTTTAGATTCTGAGTGCTTATATGAGCTTACATGTCGCTGCCATAAGCAAGGGCCCTGAGGGGCCATGCTTAGCTCTTCAGGGCCCTGCGCTAATTATTAGATTGGTGCTGGTGCGCGGCTCCTCGGGTAAAAAGATGGCACAAGTTGAAGGTACTGTGTAGATGGAGATATGAACGACCACGTCGGAGTGATCAAAAGCTAGTAGGAATCATAGTGTCCTCTCACTTTGGTGACTACTTATAGAAGCACAAAAGATGGAGGAGTTCAGAAAGCGCAGCCTCCGTCGGAGCAGATCGTTGCCAAGGTAGCATGCAGTAGGCAGTGTCAGTAGATCGAGCTAGATCGAGTGATGTTTTAGGCCACCCTTTGTCACTAGGCTCCACTGTTGTGGACCACACCTTGCTTGGTAAATATTGTACATAGATCTAAAATGCAGCCCGCACAGCGCATGCCGCGAGTGGGTACAGGGCCTCCATATGTTCTGAATCTCATGTAGATGGAGAATGGGCGAGTTGTTGTGGAACCTTCAAAATAAAACAAGTTCAAAGTGTGCCTGCACATCAAAAATGTTCAATTCCGGGGTAGAATAGACCTTGCAAGCAAGGTGACTTTCTCTGCTGGCCAGGGAACTCTGAATACACATATTGAATCTATCACGCTCCACTCTACGATCCCAAACGGGGTGTGCTTCCATGCAGTTCGCCCGTATCTATGTTACTGTTTCTGGTCTCAGTCTATTTTGCTGTGCATGTGCGATACCTCTTCCAGTAAGTAATCATCTTGCAGCAAACTGGGCGGAGGGTCTCAAATTTGGACTTTCCTATGTAGTATGATAATGTCGTGTCATCCCGTCTCAACAATGAACTCTGCGCCAGCTCAGAATCAGGGAGCGTCGACACACCTGGTCACCCTGGCACCACTAGTTCTAACTCAGGCGCACGAATCTTCCGGGTCAAGCGCCCACCACGGAGATGCGCTTCAAGTCATATTTTGCGGTTGGGACTTGAACGAACCCAATGGACATTACAATCCCGAGATAGACAAGGTTGCTCGGGATGTTGTTAGGACTTATCTGTGGCGCGGAAATCATCATTATAACGGGCAGCGCACAGTTCAATTCATCGGTCATTTTCCTTTTGATGATATCCATGAAGGGAGTGATATTGCGTTCGAGGTGTATGATCCTCTTGAGCAAGCACCGTGCACACCGTGGTGTCAAGGAGTGGCAAAGAAGGAAGAAGGATCATTCACAGGATCACTTACCAAGTCGACTACTTCCCGTAAGACGTGGCATACAAAGTAGAAGACTTGGCAGGCGTAGAATGTATAGTGTACTAATTAATGTGCAAAGTACATTGGATCAGGATGTAAGCTATAAGTAAATACTCTTGTCTATAGTATGTAGGTATCACCCTTCGTTGAGGTAAGATGGAATTGTGATGCATACATTGAAATAGTAGACAATATTTGCACAAGTCCAGTACGTTGGGTAACTACAAAGCATTCAATTCCACAACGATTCACTCGACCTCTCCTCTAATCAACCTCCTCCCCTCCTCGACCTTCTCTTCCTTCCCACCAAGCTTCCCGGAAATAATTTTCGCTTCGCCTTTGATTTTCGACAACAATGTTGTTTTCTTCTTCAACGGAGTACTGGATGGCGTTGAATTCACCGATTCAGACCCATTGGAGCCTTCTTTACCATGCACAGCACCTTTGTTGAAACTGGAATCAGTAGAAGACGGGGTCGAGGTCGAGAATGCAGATGGCGGTTCGGAGATTTGCTTCGCGTGATTCGCATGATCCTGGATCGCAGCAGATGGTGTTGCACTATCATGATGAGGAGATGGGACCTCGGGTGTTCCAGATGTGAGGTTATCATGGCCTACGTTAGCTATAGTCGAGTCGTTCTGCGGCGAATGAGGACTAATTGAGGACATGGAATCAACGGGTTTGGTGGGAGGGGTGGAGACATTGGGAATGGGTGGGATGGTAGCGATTGGTGGAACGTTCGGGACGGGGATGTCGGCGTCGATAGCGGTGGAAGAGGTTTGTGTGTCCTGAGAAGAATGTAATTATTGTGTCAGTGTATGACTGCGAATGAGATGCAAAAACGACGAATGAAAATGGAATTGATTTTTAAAAAATTCAAAGAACTCCGGGCGGAAAGACGGCGAGGACATGACCCTACTCACGTCCAGGCTTTTGTCAACGACGTTTTTTTGATATTCCTCATCTAGAGGAACACCGTGCCAATGAGCACCCACACCTGAGGCAGCCAGAGGGTGTGTACGTGGGGTTAAGTTTATAGGAGCGGGTTTTATTGGGGACTTGCCCTTGGACGGGTGCGTAGGGGAAGAAGAAGGCTGTGCGGAATGAGTATAGACTAAGATACAGACGGGACCCGTAGCAGGGAATATAGACGATGTCATGAAGAAAGAACAAATGGAAGTGTAAACGGAACACCACTTACTGGGACTTCTTGATTTAGGTTCTCCGTGAAATGGCTAGAAATGTTGTCATGTTGAACAGGCGTCTGAACAGGCGTCCTTAGAGTTGTTGGTGTAGGCGCGGAGGATCCATCCTGTGCAACCATGCTAGCATTCGCTAAAGAGTTGCGAGATTCGGAACCTTTCTGGTCAATTTTCAATTCTTCCGAGTGGTTGGAGCTTAGATCGCGTTCGAGAGGCAGCTTGGCGACGCCTTCCTCACTCGATGGACCAGGAAGAGAGCCGACGCCTTGAGAAGAGGGAATTGGATCGACGGAATGTTCTGTGGAGGGAAGAGAGATGCCTTGAGCATCTCTTTCGGCCGTGGAGGCTGCGACGATTAAAGAACCGCCAGCTATGAACAAATTGAGATGAGGAGACATAGAGGCATAGAAGAATACTTACGAAAATACTCTACAACATTCGAGGGCAGGTACTGCGATGCTGTCACAGTTGCATTGAACAGAACTTCCTTCACGCCGTCAAAACCTCCAGCGACAGATCCGCTGATGGTTTCTGCAGCAGGCAAAGCGTTTACAGCGTCACCGACGCCGGCAGCAGCAGTGGACGCAGCAACTCTGGCTCGGTCAGTGATTTCGTTGACGCCTACAGGGAGTTGAGTAGAAGGAGTCTTTGGATAGGCTCCAGGGAAATCGAGGCCTGGTGTGGTTGCGGTGGAAGAAGGAACAGGAGCGGAGGTGGTGGAAGTGGAAATAACTGAATCACTTGGGACAGAATTGAGAGTTTCGTTGGCCCATTCGTGAGCAGGCGTGGAAGGCAGGGCTTCCGAAGAGATTATGGGTGCAGACATGGCTTATTCGGGAATGGAATTGTAAAAGTCAAGTTCAAAACAATATTGAGGTTTATATCACCAGAACTCCAGTGGCGTCTCTCCAAAATGACGTCGTCGGCATCATTGAAAGCGAGGGCGGAATTAGACGCCCAAACACTTCAGTAAATTGATTAGCGCTGAATCAAAACACATGCCGAGGATAGACAAATCCGAAGGTTTGCTCGTGGTCAGTTATGAAAATTCTATTTGGAAACGACCGAAAAACAAAACATAGAGTTGTGATAGCAACTCTCTCCAGTATCTGCCCCAGAGAGGCTCGAACTCTCGACCTTCCGATTCACCTGTTACGAATTAACAGTCGGACGCTGTAACCAACTCAGCCATGGGGCATTACATATTGGCCAGATACGTACATTACAGATTGGGTGGATAACCATCAATCCCATTTTTTTTTCAGGAATCGAGGTTTTCATTATCGTCTAATTCCAAGTTCTTGTGGATTGAAGGGAACAAGTTGTCATATACTCCCAGTATATCAAAGTCCTCGAGATTGTGGGCAATGAATGACACCGCCACGTATGCGTCGGTCTCTGTCGGTCTTGTCCGTAACCACAGCTTCTCAGTGTTCTCACCGCTAAATGGCGGTTCGAACCTGTATCAACACATGAGTTCGAAACCGTGGACTGTGTGTTACAAGGTTTTTCAAAGGAACGGCTGTGCGCCCTGCAGGCTCTTGTAGACCTGAGCGACAGGACGCAACTGCGGGAATTTGGCCTGAATCAGTTTATGTATATAAGGACCAGCATTTCAACAAGCAACTTCCTATCCTTCACTTTTCGTTGAAGCTTCTTTGCTGGTCAAAGAACAAGTTCGCGACCCTCCGAATTCGCATTACGCCTTCCTCAGCGTTTAATTCCCCCTAACAATGCGTCTCATTATTGTGGCCATTTTTCTTGGATTGTTGTCGCTTGCATGTGCGGTACCTTTTCCTGTGAGTTGTCATTTCATTTTGATATTGATATCCTCCCCCTTTATGCTTCTTCAATACGAATATAAACTTACGGTCCTCTTTGTTAATTTTTTATGCAGACAAAATATGAACCAGAGCCTGACGAGAACGGTGTGCATGCATTACAGCCACCTCATGCAAGACCTAAATTGACGACGACGAGTTCAACGAGTTCGTCTCGGAGTTCGAGCGCAGACCGATTGAATAGAAAATTCACCGTGGAGGATCTTAAAACCAACACCATATTACTGAATGTCACTTTTTATCCTGGAAAAACTCTGAACGCTCCAGGATTATCAAACCATGAGGCGGACGAAGAGGCTCAAGATATAGTCAAAGGCTTCTTGATGAACCACAAAGGGTTGTCGAAGGACTTGGGCAAGTCAGTGGCCAGCCGCAGAGTTATATTTGGAAATTCCTTTCGCTATCTGGATCTCCCCAAGGGTTCTTTCGTTCACTTCAAATTGGAGGCAATCCCCGCGGTGCCTGGGTGTAATCCCGAATGTCATGCGACGGCGCTGAGAGTCAAAGGCACTCCGGATACGTTTAAGGGGAAGATTAGCGCGGATTTGACAGGGTTCCCGGTGGTTGGATGGGATGAACCTTTAGAGAAAAAGCCTACTTCGGGTTCGAAACTCACGTAATACATACGTAGTTGAACTTGGTGTCGCGCGAGTACTGTGGCTTTCAGTTGTCTTTAGTTAGAAAATCGACGTAGACACATGAGGTTATCTATCGACATATGGTCTCTCAAAGTCTGCTTAGCGGAGAATTAGAACGACTTACCTGCGTAATTTCCTCCGAAAAACCCAGGTTTACAGTGAATTATAATTATACTGGAACATTGATACATCGGCGAACCAATAGCTGAAAATCGCATTTTGGCATTAATTAACACCAAGCGGAACCACATATGTATTGAAGAATCACTTCGGCACGTAAATGGTGGGGCATCGAGAGACACAGGAGAGGACATAGCCTACAAAACGGAGGCAGAAGGATTCGAGATGGAGGGGCGGAGAGGATAGCCCTGGAACAAATATGAGGGTACGTCGGACCGGATCTTGCCTGTTAAGAATTTGCAACCGAAGAGCCCTGAAGCAGCACTGAGAGGCGATGTGTAGCTACAGTCAGAAGCCCTTGATCAATGATTACAGACGTAGCGTTCTGCATATCCGGATCCTCTCCCTATCTGCGGAGTTAACGAATGCAAGCTCGCTAGACACGGAGAGTGTACTCGAGAATGGTTTGTGGCAAGCTTGTGGCATACGTTTGCTATGAGGCTTGTGGGACCCTCTGGCTCTTCTGCGGAGTAGGGGTATGCACGCACAGCGATGCTTCAACCGTCTACATTTGAATTTGTGGACTGGGTCATGGTATTTAGAGTCGGCATTAGGACTTGCAATTTTTGCTGCTTTGTCCTTTGACCCTGTAGCTCTCATTATATAAGCACCTTGTCATTTCAATCCCTCTCGAATTGGGCTTCGGCGGCGGTCGTAACACTGTAAACAGCGAAGAAAGACACGGTGGGTAGAAAGCCGGCAGAGCCCGGCAGGCAATCCCAGCTCGATCATAACAGTCACGTGCATTGGATTCGATCCGACGCGCTTTCTCCGATTTGAGACTTTCACTGGCTTCTCGCGCCAGGGTGCGCAAACAGAAGCCCTTCTCAGGGTATTTCTACGACCATCACGACTTTTTTTATTTTTCTCTACTTCCACCAGCAATTCAGCTGCGCGAGATCCCTCTCTTTCCGCCTTCACGCTTTTATATTTATCTTTACGAACAATATCACGAACAACATAGAATTTATTCTTCCACATTCGCCGACGTATACAGTACACAGTATGCAATCTACAGACTGTTTACCCCAAGATCGCATGCCGCAGCATAATCACGCTCATCGTCGCTCGCTGCCAGCGAGTTTGTCCAGTACTCCGCGTCACTCCTCGCCTCTGAATCCTGGGGCTCACAACGTCAACTGCAGTCCGAATCACAAACAAAGCGCGTCGTTCTCTGGACCTGCGTCTCCATATAACTCGCCTTTGTCCTTCACCTCTCCTGGGCGCGAAGCTAGAGGTGACACTACTCCTCCGTGTGTTCCAGGCGCACATCAATCCGCGCCGTCGCTAGGCTCACCGTTCAAACCTTCCCCCGACAAAAATTGCAGAGCAAGAGGACTGAGTCTGTCAATCAACACTGCCGGAGAATCTGAGCTTCCGACCTCGTCAACGGTGTCAACTAGATCTTCTCCTGTTTGTTCCCCAACTCAAACTCCTGGTTTACTTAGTCCTTCGGCGACCCTACGCCCGGAAGCCTTCCCAAGTGATGATGTTGGAACTTCCCGTGTTCGGGCGCGTAGTGGGAGTGCACCCAAGCCCTTCACAGGAGTAGGCAAGGTAACTAGCCCCAATGGTATTCCGCCTGCACTTGCCCGTGAGTTTATCCTCGACTTTCGAGAAGTTAAGGAATAATGAACTTGCTATAGCTACATCATCTCGTGCTTCATTCTGGCGCCGTGACGAGGAGAAGTTGCTTAGCCCGAGCGATTCAAGTCATTCGAGACCTTGGCATTCCATGTTCGATACGTCGGCATCAAGCAAGGACAGGCCAAGGAGGCATAGTGTAGCGACGGGTACCCCGACAAAGGAAGGTAAGGAGGGCAAGGACAATGATACTACTGGAACTGTTCCGGTGGAGCAGATGGAGAACTGGGAGATTACCAGGAAGGTTTGTACCACTTACCCATTAGTACTTTTGCATACTGACCTTGATCGTCTTGGCAGCGTGTAGCTCAAGCTGCTTCCTCCATTCTCGGCACATCTGCCTTGATTGCACACGAAATTCTTCTCACTTCCGTCGATTTAGTCGAGCTTGCTCCAGTGCCAGGCCTTCAGGCCGCGGCAAGGACCTTGTTACAGATCTGGGCTTGTTTGCAACAAGTTGATGTGAGTAGTGTTTCTCTTCGTAAATGACTTTGTTCCTTTTCATCCGTTGCTCATTGGTTTGGAAATAGTCCAACCGCCTCCAATGTCTCCGCCTCACCGAGCACTGCGCTGATATCCTTCTCTCTGTCCGTCAAGAGGTTTACGAAGCCGGTGATGAAGTTGAAGATGAGTTGCGATTACCGTTTGATAAGTTGACGGAGTAAGCTTTCATGTTTAGTTATTATCATATCTGCACGGGATGTTTAATCGATGCTTCATTCAGATCGTTCAATGACGTCCATGCACTCCTCGTCAAACAAGCCGGGAGACCGTTCTTGAAGAGATACCTGAAGAGAGACGAGATTTCGAAACAGCTTCATCAATGTGACGTAGGGTTACAGGAGGCGCTGGGTATGTTCAGCGTGAGTACATGTTCGATACTATCTTATTCGCTCTGAGTTTTTGCCCGTAATATCCAGATTTCGATTCAAATCCGTATTCTCAAGCAAGTGCAGCTCGCAGAAGCTCGGAGACAGCATGATACCCAGGAATTGTTGAGGAGTGTAGCTAATCTGAGCCATTTGAGTCAACACGGGTATCCTATCCAGCCTGACCCTCCGAGCTATTCGATGCCAACGACTCCGGTTGCCTTGGGAGCGCCAGACTTGCAAACGCCCAAGGTGTCGCAAGCATATAGTCAAGTACCTATGGAACCGTTTTCCCTATCGAGCGGTATCTCCACATCTGCGCGGCCGCCTTTCCCGTATGCCGCTTCAAGCCTTCTCTCGTTGAGTGGCACTAGATCCGTTTCCACGACTGCCTCAGCCTCGGCCTCTTCACAGAGTCTCATCCCTGGTCTTCATGGGTTACCCGCGAGCAGCTCCCATTCCTCCTGGTCGCAATCACAATCAGTATCAGTGGACCAGTCAAAGGATCAATCAATAGAAGCGTATTCGTGGAATTACAATTCGAACAATAGCTCGGAGATGACGAGTACTAGCAAAATTCCCCCCTCTCTGAGCTCTGTGAAAGTCCCGCCCGAACCTGTTTCTCCTAAAGATACCAGTACGGTGATACCTTCAGTGTCAATAACACCCTCGTCTAGGCCTTCGACTGCTACGTCCTCGTCTACTGCATCTACTCAAATTGAAAGCTCAATCACAACTGAGTCCTACAATGCTCCTTCTTCAGCGGCACTGCAGACGCGCTCGGGTCAGATACAAAAGTCTTCGCTTCCCCAGCCTCCTATCCAGTTGATTCCAACAAAGTCGAGCATCGAGGCTGCCGGAGCCATGCTCGATGCGATTCAGCGTCAGGGCAATGTTTCTATGGGATCTTCGGAAGTCGAGGTATCGAGTCTTGAATCTTCCTCTACTTCGACTACCATTTGTACTGTCACTCCGGGGGCCACTGGCGTCGAGTCTACATCCACGACTTCTGCAGCAACCTCCACA